GATCAATATTGATCACTATGACAAAACCTTGTTTGAAAATATAGTTGTCAGGCCTGCAATTATATTCCTTTTAGAATTTTGGCCTACCACACTTTCTCTTATTTCATTATGCTGTTTCATTAGTATAGTTGATGGGAGGGGGGAATAGATGGGAGTAGGATTGTGGAATGTGTTGTTGTCATTCTTTTCTAGAAGACCAAGGTCTTCTTTGGTCTCTGCACTTTTACACCTGACCGGAAGAAACTGGGTGGAGATGCCAGCGTGGAAGAAGAAGATTGGACCATGTGATGGATTTGTGGGTGTTGGGACAAGATCATGAACTTAACTGGGTGGAATTCCAGGAAGCTCTTTAGAATTGGGATTACACAGATGTGCTAAGATGTCTGATTTATTAAATTGGAACTTTAAGGATCATTTTGCCTTGGACTCTTGTTTAATTCTACATGATACTTGGAAAGCTGACAATATTTTAATTTCTGAATTAATTAATATATATGTTATACACAATACACACACTCACACAATGTATATACTATATACTGTATATAATATTATATACATAGTATATACTAATTAAGACTCCCTTGGTGAGGTTTATGTGCTCAGAAATTATAAATATTCCCAAGATACCTTCAGATAGTATATTATTCTTCCATAATAATTTAGATGTTATTCTTAGTATGAACAAATAGGCTGCCAAGCTCCTGTGAAGAGTATTTCATTTTTATTTTTTTATTAAGACAACTCTGTGACAATTCATATATACTTTTTCATCATAGAGACATAATCTCTGTCCTTTATAGATGTTCAATATCTGGCTTCAGTAGAAAGGAAATGGATCATCTTCCATTATGTGGGTTACCTTAGTAGAAGGCGAACACCTGATTAGCTTTTTTATGAAGACTGAGGAACATCCTGGAAAAGAAGAAAGGTAATTTTATATTTTGTCACTGGAAAAGATAATCTGAAAATCCTTAGTCATATCTATTCCAAGTGTAACCATATCAAAATTTGTTTAGCTTCCAGGTCCAAAGAAATCTTTGTCCTACTGTCTCCATTTTTTCGTACCCATTTACTGTGTTCATACTTAGTTATACTTATACCTGTTATCTTTCACATGTTTGACAAACTGAATAAAATAAAAGTAAAGATCATCTAGATGAGGAATCTGATGAGATAATCCTTGTTTTTCTAATAAAATAATCTGTGTTACTAGACCAGAAATAAAGTTTAATGTGGGCAGATAGTAATTTGTTTTCTAATGTGAATAAATTCAAAAATATATTTGTGAAGTAACAGAGGTGGTTATATTTTATTAGTTTTGTGAAAAGACTCTAGAATAACATTTCTTTTCAGGAAGTATTTTTTTCTTAATATGTTACTATTAAATTATTAATAAATTACCATACTAGCAATCTTGAAGTAGAATCCTTTAAGAAATTCACCACTATATTTCTTTATTTGGGTTTATTTTGAGGAAGAAACCAATAACAGAATTATCTTATGTATAATTTATAGCATGGGAAAATATTTGTAGTTTCTGAAGCTAAGGTGATATTTGCACAATTATCTGGTTGTAACAAATTCCTTTGATATTTTTTTTAGTTTGCATTGCTACAGAAGAATAAATAACAGAATAATATTTTACTAACCATGAAGCCTATATGTAGTGAAATTTAGGTTTAGGTTTAGGTTTTAGGTTTTATTATTATCTATAGGCCGGCCTTTTCCCTGAGGGGACTCAGGGTGGCTTACAATATATAGGGAGGGGAGTACAAGACAATAAAAACATAAAACAATACATAAATAAAAAATAGTACACAACATTCATCATTCGGGTGGGGACGAATTATAACTTTTATCACTAGGCCTGACGGGATAGCCAGGTCTTG